CACCGCGCGTGCGCACCAAGGGGAGGGGCGGGGCTGAGCGCGACCTTTGTCGGCCTAACGGGACTGTAAAATAAAGTCTTCCTTCTGAGAACAAGGGTGACAGGCTCTCTTTACTACTACATGTGAGTGATTTTACATATAGATTATAGCCGGGCATGGTGGCACGGGCCTGTCACCCCAGCACGCGGGAGGCTGAGGCAGGAGGATCGCCCTGAGTTCAAAGCCAGCCTGGGCTCCATAGAGAGACCCGGTCTCAATGTTTTAAAGGGTAAATCTTAGGTTATATTCAAATCATACATAATGCATGTTATAGTTATAAATTACACACGAGAGACACGTGTAATTGTGTTTTGCAGTGCAGCCTTTCACATGCTAAGCAAGTGCTCCAGGCCGAGGCACATCCCAGCCAGCATTTATGGATTTTATGGGCATAAAAGAGATTTGTATCCATGTGCATTTTAACATCGCACGCGATATTAATAAGATATAAAATGGATAGGATAAAAATTAAATTGTATGATTTTGTATGATATAAAAGTGATTGACCACACAAAAATGAAGAACTTTGATTGAAATTACATGGGGTATAAAGGCCATTTATGGGCTGGAATGGTGGCGCACGCCTACCATCCCAGAACGGGGGAGGCTGAGGCGGGAGGGTCTCTGTGACTTCGAGACCAGCCTGGGCTACATAGTGAGTTCAAATCCAACCTTAACTACATAACAAGACCTTGCCTCAAAACAACAACAGAAAACAAAAATGAAAAGAGAAAAAAGGGAGATTTCTATTATATAAAATTTTAAAGTATGTATAACATAAATGTACTATATGTGATTTATATATGATGGCTATTATAAATACACAGAATAATAGTTAATGTCGCTATAACATTATGATATATAATTCACAAGCATGTACATGATTTATGTACAAGGTCATTGACATACAGAATGTAGGGCACATACAATAGAGTTTACATGTAAGGCACGTACAAAATTATGTTATGTAGTATAAACAAAAGACTCTTCTATAAGGTTCACATACAATGTGAGATTATAAATCATGTAAAACGTAAATAGAATAAACACGTGATGTATGTCATGTAATTTATATAGATTTGTGTAAAGAAGCAAAGATCTATATTCCATAAAACTGAGATGTAATAAGCGTATATGTGATTTCCATACCATGTAAAAGAGATTTGTGTAGAGAGTATAGCATATATGACAGGCAGCAGAACCACTGAGCTAAATCCCCAGGCCCTTAAAATCTCATTCGTTTTGGAGACTTTTTGGGTGGTTCTAGAGGTGGAACTCAGGGCCCTCTGACTGAGCCACAACCCAAGCCCTTTTTTTTTTTTTCTTTGTTTAATTTTGAGAGGAGGTTTGGCTAAGTAGCTAAGCTGCCCAGGCTGGGCTCCAACCATTGATCCTCCTGCCTCAGCCTCGTGTTGCTCGTCCTGTTTTAAGGGCTGAGTTGTATCCCACAGCTGGGGACCGCAGTTGACGAGCCTGGGTTGTACATTAGGAGACAGCTGAGCTCTCTGACGGATGTGCTCACTTTTCCATCCGAGCCTTCCACGCAGCTCATCTGTGCAATCCTCCTGCCTCAGCCTCCCAGAGCGCTGGGGAACAGGCCTCCCCGGCCGCCCCAGGCACTGAAGTAAGAACTTGAACAGAAGCCTGTGTCACCCCAGCACCCGGGTCTTAGAAACTGCGGCCTACAGCCCCGCCTGGTGGCTACACAGCAACCTAGCCTCTCAGCTCTCTAGTGGGGAGGCAGTAGGGGCGATTCTCAGACCCAGCCTCGGGAGCCGGACTCCACGGCTCTCCAGACCTCAGCCCAGGGCCGCCCTGAGCCCCTCGAGGAGACACAGGCAGGAGGGTCTCCCCGGAGCCTGTGGAGACAGCACGGCCGGGGACGCCACGGTCTCAGCCTCCTGGGCTCCAGAATTTAACCCAAGTTGTTGACTCTGGATTTTCACATAAGGCCCAGTTTGTAAACTTGTTAATCCCAGCATTCAGGGGACTGAGGCAGGAGGATCACTGTGTTTCGGGCCAAGCTGGGCTCTATTCAGAGTTCAAGGCCGGCCCGAGCTACATATCAAGCCGCTGCCTTGAAAAACGAAACAATAAAAATAAAATTGCATTTGCGGTCTACTTTCAAAGCTGGGAAAGTCACTCCTCACCTATACGAAGGTAGGATCTTGGTTATACCGGTTTCAAAACAAAATCATTTTTCAACTAAGCGGGTGTGGTGGTGCAACTCTGTAGACCCAGCTCGCTGGGAGGCTGAAGCAGGAGGGTGTCGGCTTCCAGCCCAGCCCGGGCTATTAAGTGACTTAGTGAGACTCAAAGTAAAACATACCGGTAGGGAGGGGAGTCAGGGGCCGTGGCGGTACCGCAGCCCCGGAGGACCGAGCCCAGGCTCCGTGGGGAACCCGATCCCCACAAGGTCCACCTCCCCCTGGAAACCGCACACCCAGCGAAGCGTGTCCTGTCTCGGTTTCCCACAGCAGAGACCCCCACCCCCGGGCCCCGGCGCATCTCGGGGACCCCACCCCACGCCCCAGCCCCAACCCCAACCCCAAGTCGCGGCCCGGGAACCCAACATCTCCGCGCAGGTCCTCCTCACTTCC